TGAGATGCTTTTCAATATACCTCTCACGTGATATACTGATCCCTAACTCGAGGCTAATTATTTCTTTGGGGTAAATCATCGTCCAGGAAGTCGAACACACGCCTCGTTCATCGTTCAAGACATTTTCTACTTCGTAAAATGAACACATCGGTTTCCATCAATAAAATGGAAACAATAGTTTCCATCCTTAAACTCGCACATTTTGTCATGCATTTTCCAATTTAAATGGGAATTAAATGAACATTCTAATTTTAATTTTAATTTTAATCGTAACTCCAATTTTAGTTTATTTCATCGACAGAAAAAGAATTTTCAAATGTGGTATAACGAAGACGTTATATAAAGTTTTAAGTTAATAATATTGCCACTATGTTGAGAGAAATAAAACGATGCACAGGATGTGATTGTTAGACTGCGGATCATTGTGCAAAATAAAAATTGGCTTCATTAATAGCGAGATATAAATACTATATAGACATTTATTCGAGTTGCCAGCAATGCAATAATATTTTCGGATCGTTCAAACGAATTTACTATTTTGCATTTGATCCGCTTATTTTCGTCGTAAATGCATAAAACCCGCAGTCTAGTAATTCCATACGTCACGGCTCCATTATGCGACTCATTCGTCAGGACATTAACGTAACAGTTTAAAACTTGAGCAAACAGAAACTGAAATTTATGACACTCTGTAAATAAAAGCTAGTCGAGCTAACGCCTTTGTTCACATGCGACGAGGAGGTGTATCAAGGCGTTTCTTTACGATCTATTCGGTGGAACACTTTCCACACTGCTCTATAAGTTCATCATTGTCCACTGTAATGACTCCCGGCTAGAGGCTCGCGTGGACACAGTCATGCGAGGCTGAAGCTGCGAATCGACTTCAGCGTTTTACTGTCGGGAGTTACTCTAGCAGACGCGGACTTGTGAGAGCAACTTTTCGCTAGCTTACACTCCGCTGGCAGTCGCTTCTGCTTTCAGAGTAACACACCACGAAGGAGTCAAGTCTCGAGTGGACAGAAACGTACAACTGCTCTCGCGAGTTACAAAATTACACCGGGAAAATGAGGAAAAACGAGACGTGGAGCCTTTATTTCACTCTCCCTCGAAGAAACTTCACTATGAAAAGCATAGTTACCCCGGCGTTTTATTATAAATACCATAATAAATCTAAGAATCCATTGTTTTCGAACATCGACGCAGGTTAGAACATTTTCAAAATTTATTCAACATTGAACATGTTTAATCAGAATTTGAGGTATCGAAATTAAGATTCTTGTTGCATCTAGATCATGGATTTTATGTGCGAAGGCATAAGAAGAATCGAATCATTTTATTATTACAATTTTATTATATGTGGCGCAATAAACTTTATTACATTTTTCATATGTCTTCACAGTTCTGTATTTCAGTCACGCATTTTTTTCCGACAAATGCATAAAATCCGCAATCAATGAAGATATAACTTTATTAGACCGCAGATAATGCAGCAAATATTAATATCTCTACTGTTTTATTGTTTATCCATTTAGTGTAACAACAACCGCATAAAATCCATAATCTGGGCGCAGCGAGAATCTTAATTTTGATCGTTCATGTTTTAGTTGAATTTAATCTCTGTTTCTTACAATCGTCTTCGAAAATTTGTATTTTGCGCGAAGATCCGCAGTCTAATTACGAACAACAGTCAACGGCACAACCGAGGTGAAAGGATTTTCTTCCGCAGAAAAATCCGCAGTTTAATTATAACTGTTGTTTCGAACGATCCACAAATGCAGCGAACTGTATGATCAGATATAAATTCGGTGTTAGAATGGTGGAAAACCGCTCGAGCTCTGTGCGTTCTTTTCCGCCTTTGGAAGAGAACGAATTATACCGGAGTGAACCGTTTTAAATGCCCCTATGCGGCACGTCGAGAGAAAGAAAGCCCGAAATTAGAACTTGAAAACAAACGGGAGAAGTTACTCCCGCCGCAAAGCACCCCTTACGGTAACCCGATACCGGAGATAAGCTGTTGTCCCCCATCCTTTGAGACACAGACCGCTTTTATGCCCACTAAGAGACCGAAATTTCATTCACAGCTGTTTTACATCTTCCTCCAGAGGAATCTTTCACCGATGCTATCCCTCCCGCCTTTGCGGAATCTTCTCTTAACGCGTTCGCGACTGTGACCCGGCCACTTTAATCCATCGCCTCCTGAATTCTTTATTTACGATCCCCTCGACAAGTGTCTCACCCTCGACAAACATTCGGGTGGTTGAGCACGATCATCCGGATCCGAGCATTTTCTCGCATTTTCTCCTGATAGGAGTTTGTCGCACAGTCGCCACATTCCGTATCATGCGAGCGATGCGTGATCGGTGCGCCAGCGAGTTTACGCGCGAGCATTCCGTTCTTTGACAGCGTACACCGATGCAACGCGTGCCACAGGTGCCACATTCTTGTTATATTTATTACTTATGTATTCGTTATTCATTTTTTAACATTTATATACATAATCTGACATATCCGTGGTCAACGCGTTGGCGTACACTGTCTTTACAGATATTGAATTGTAGTGACAAGAATATCGCGACGTTTTGACCAACGTAAACACTTTTTGAATCGATGTTTGTCTAATTTGAACGAAATTATGACGACAACAATTTTGTGAGGTTTTGTCCTATAGGAACATTTTACGAATCGATGTTTGTCTTATTTGAACCGAATTATAAAATAGCAAGAATTTTGTGACGTTTTTTTTATATCGAATGTGGATATTTTCAGATGGGTTAAAGCGATAGTTTTCTCCAGTGGATCTTTTACGTGAAAAAAATGAATGAAATTGAATAAATAATTTAGGAGAATATAGTTAGGTTTGAAATGAACAAAAATGGAAATAGTTGTAATTAAGAAATACATGCGATAGAAGAATCGGCAAACAAATCAACGACAATATATCGAAAAAAGCATATGTTAAACTTAATTATATATATAATTTAGTTATGTTTAACTATACATAAAATTAAATATTTTTCAGTTAAATGTATGTGTATAGTTAAATATAATTAAATTATATATATATTATTATATAATTAATTAAATAATATTAATTATATATATAATTTAATTATGTTTAACTATACATAAAATTAAATATTTCTTATTTAA